TTCATTCCAAAAGACCAGTTTTTAAATAGTCACAAAAATACACAGCCTGCACCTTAGTCAACCTTTTGATACGAAGGATAGCTAACAGAGAAAGACCAAAACAAAACTCAAATTACCCAGAATCAACTCTTGAAATTCCCCAAAAGGCAGCATATTTCACTGCTGAAAAGTGCATTTTTGTGGAAGGGTGTTGGTTCTGTTATCAACTGCCATGCCCTTGCTAGCTCTTAAAAGTAGAACAAATGTTAGGAAAAGTTTTATGACTGAATGGGGAAAGGCAGGAGACAGACTATTAAAAAAAGGCATGGGAAGGAGTTAGCACAGAGCCAAAACAATCTTGCAGCTGCATTACATTATCCCAGTGGGAAGTTGCCAGGCTGGCAGCAAAGTTAAACTCTACGCTCATGAAAGGGAAGCACTGATACCACCAGCTACAACTTGCATTAAATGAGCTTCCCACACCTCAGTGCCAATCCAGCTCAGTCCTGATCTGCATGCTGTTCCAGCCCTGGGCCTGCTTTACACGTAGGCTGCCAGTCAATCTGAACAAGTTCTACATCCAAACTGGTAGTGACGTACAATAAGGCTTCCTTCAAACTATCACGATCAACAGTGAGGATTGTTACAGGTAAGCAACAGCAGACAGGTACTTCTCTGCAATCTGTAAACTTCTTCCCACCCCAACACAATCTGAACATAACACTTAAAACCTATATCTCAAATGAGCTTCCCTTTTCATGCTGATTATTTTATAATACCACAGATATACACAGTACTTTTTAAGATACAAAATAAAGCCATTTTCTTCTCAGGCTGGGAGAGTTTACTGTGTCCCAAGAAAACAACTTTGGAAAGGGAATTTATAGAAATAACTGTGGTAAGCAAAAACATCTTGGAGAAGTTTCATACAGTAAAGCAGATCAAGAAGCAGTACCATGGATAAATATCAAAAGGACAGCCTGTGCTTAGGGTAAGATATGGCAGAAAGCCTAAAACTTTTTTCATGTCCTTGTCAGCATGACAGAGGCTCAGGGTGCCAGCTGAATGCTTTCTTTCACCTGCAAGTATATTCCCATGGTCACCTGCCAGACCTTTCAACATTGTCCAAAACCTACTGCTTCCAGAGACTGACAGAATGTGTGGAGCCCTTCCCTGCTGATGTAAAAGTGAAGCCATGACACACACAGTAATGTGGAACCACAGAAACAGAACCAACCTTCTTCTAGTTCTTTGCTCTTTCACAGGGACACAGGCTATGGAGTTGGTGCTCAGTTGCACAGCTCCTCCAGGTTACACAAACTCTCAGGGAGGAACAGATGTTCGAATAATAGAAATTTCTGTGCCATTTAATTCAAAGCACTTTATAAACATTAACAAAAACAAACCCTGGGCTATAAAAACAAGTTATAGATGGGATCACCTCACTAGCGAAATGCAGCTGCCTTTGTCCCACAGAATTGCAGCTAATGGTTCATGGTGACATTATACCACCATCCAAAGGCAGGAAAAGAACAGGCTATGAGGCCACATTCAGGAGTCAATTTTTAATATTTGCTTTTATGAGAACTACTTCTATTAATTCAGATATTAAGTGCAATTCATTGCACATCACAGCTCTGAAATTCTTTTGGTCATCTTCACAGAAAACTCCCCAGTCTTTGGAAAGAGAGAGTCAGAAGAAAAGAGAACCTCAGTACTCTAAGAAATAAAGGCACAGTATACTTCGTTTTTGACTGCACCATTTATATGAACGAGAGGAACGAAAAAGAAGTCTTAAGTTCCCTTCCTGCACAGTGGATCTTCCCACAATCGCATAACTGCCATGGAGCTGCAGAGTTACATCTGCCACCACAACAATATCACAATGCAAAGAACAATACAAAACCCGGTTTATGTAGTCTAAACACATGGTTAATATTCCTATGGGGAAACAAAGTCCAAAGAAATTAATACATCTTTAAAATTCCTTGCACTGACCCACAGTTGAGAGCTGCTCTTGGTGTCTCTAATCTTTGAACAGGCTGGTAAATCGGCCAGAGTTAACACATCAGTGCTGGTGAATGAGTTAATCAGTTCTTTGTTTATAGTTTCACACTGTCTCCAAACTCAAGTAGTCATTGCATCACTCTGGCTTACATTAAATTTTTCCCCCACTCTTTAAAATATAAAAACAGGGCTTTTTTATTATTAGATTATTCCAGAGCAGAGTTTCATGGAAGTGAATCAATTCTGTAAATGTAGAAGACATGGAGTCTTTCAGCTGTAGTGAGGAGATACAGAGACACTTCACTGGGGTTTTCTGTAATATATTGGATCTACTGCCCTTTAAGGTGCAAATGCAAATACATTTCTTCATCTTCACTCTCTCTTCCAACAGAAAATCCCCACAAAGATGCAGAATTACCTAGGCAAGTGATTTAAAGATTTTTCCAAAGAACCACTAGGGAATATTTATTTGCAGACAGTAAGTTCCCAATTGTTTTGTTTTCATCTTTCCATCAACGGCTTTACCATTTACAATAGAAACGAGTATCTTCTTTTGCCAGGTTTCATGTGGATGCACAGATTCCTTCTCAAAAGCAACCAGCCACAATACAGTAGTGCTAGGGGGAGAATATTTTGGAAAAATAACATCTGTATTTGCAGAACTCTATAAATGAAGATATCATTCATCTGATACACTGTAGGTCAACTCTTCCTTTTTTTAGTGTTCACTTTTCAGCAACTGAAATCACAAGGCACGAAGTCAACAGATATTTAAGCTATTTAAATAGCACCAAGGATAGAGGTCATGCCTCTGATGTGATTTATCTTCACAAGAACCCACCCAAATCTTGGAAACCCCGGCCTTGGAGATAGGAAATTCTGGAGGTTGTATAGATAAGAGATTGGTGTATTCAAACTACAGATAGCTTTTTCCAGAGTGTATTTAAATAGCCTAGAGCAAGGTCTTAGGTAAAAACAAACAAACAAACAAAAAAACCTCCCAGCAATGTGATATACTCAGGAAAATGCCCATGAAGTTGTAGAGAATTGCTGTCTCCTGCCCTGGTTGAGAGGCTGGTGTTTTCCCTAGTCTTTCACACCAAAGGCAATCGGCACTCAGGTCTTCCAGTAAATGCTACCTCATGGCAGCTGCAAACTAGCCCAGGAAAAAAAGGTTAAAAAAATTAAGTAATAATAGTAATAATAATAACAATCTTCCAGCAATCTTCCAGCAAAGCAGCCAACTGGATCACTTCGTCAAAGGTCAGTCAAATGTGAGAACTGATGCTAGTGAGGAAAGGGAGAAGGTAAAGCTTAGGGCTTCCCATAAATGTCTCAGAAAACCACTTCCTAGAGAAGTAGCAGAAATAGGCAACTCCAGCACCATCACTGCACAGACACATGCAAACATGACAGCAAATAACTTGGTAAATAATTTTTGAAAGCAGTGAAATCAGACAAACCTAGAGAGGAAAGACAGTATCTCCCAGAACTTCTGTGCTCGTTACTGTACACATTCGAAAAAAATTCTCACACGACTTTAAAAACTTTTAACCAGTCCTGTGAGTTCTGCCACAAAAAGTCTCATTTTTGTCTCAAATTTAGTCTATGAAACAGAACTCCAGCTTGTGTAACAGACAGCAATAGCACAATTAAAAAAATCCACCTGAGGCCAGCTCTGTTCAGCAACCAGAGGAAAGGAAGAGAACTAATTAAAACCATGTTCCCTAAAAGCAGAAGTGGTTAGCTGCACATACCAAATAGAACACAGTATCTGTCACAGGCAACTGACCTCAAAACAGAGGAGGGAGCAGGGGAGGTGAATGTAGTTACAACAAATCACACATTCTGAAGAAAAAAGTGATTTAAGAGCTACTACGATCACCAGGATTTGTGCTTGGGTGAAAAGAATAGCAGATGTGGAGCTAATGTAGATACTAAGGGCACGTTCATGCAATCCTGGCACAGATAAACCTGATGATATAATTGGGAGTTTTCCCTATTTTCTTTGAGATCAGTGTCTCAGTAATTTATTAAGTTCTCTTAACCAGTCAGTCCAGATAGGAAGGATTTCAGATTAATTAACCACAGGCTTAAACCTGCAAAGGGGCATTTTGCATCTCAGAGACCACCTTGCACCTTGCAGGAGGGAGCCAAAGGTATCTTCTGAGAACAAACATGGGGGTCATTACTGTTCAATTCTGAAATTTTCCCTGCATTGCTCAAATCTCTGTAGACTGCAGCAGCTATCATTTTTGCTTCTATGGCAGTCAGAAAGCTCTTGAATCATTAACATGGGAATATCAGCATTTCTATTACTCCCAGACATTTCTTTCTTCACTTTCCAATGTTTTCTCTGTGTTATCTGTCATTACCTTGTTTTCTCATTTTCCTTTTCATTAATGATTATTATTCAAGAGAGGAAATGTAGCACAGTCTGAGAATTCATTCAGCATGAATGGGGAGAGACATATGGTCTAGCAACTTAAGCAGAGGATCAGGAGCCAGACTGCTTGCAAGACCTAGCCTGATAGTCTCCCCCTTGGTCTTTGGGCAAGTCATTTAAGGTCAAATGCTTTTTCCTTCCCACAGCCAAAAGTTCAGTAGAAGGTCAATTCCTTTGGACTGCAGAAGGGGTTACCCCACTAACATTGATGCTTCAACATGTAGCTACACTGTCCTTGCATGAGGAGCAGAAACTTCCTTTAGGCTTATCCTCACCACAGTTACAACACAGGAGATCATAAACTCAAATATTTTGTGATCACGTCAATGCATAGCACGGCTATAAAACACCACAGGCAGGGAAATGCTGTGTACACTACATCAGCTGGTCAAGGAAAAATTTGACTTGGATGAGAGCCTTCTCCCAGCATGATTGAAATAAAGAACATGTTTTTTTTCTGATCTGCTCTAGCTGCAAACTTGTGTGTTTGCAAACATCACACAAACCAGTCCCCAGCAATAACTGGTGCTGACTGGTTCACCACAGTCATCCCATGAAGACAACTCACTGTGGTTTGACATCCAAGTCACATTTCTTCTCCTTCAGTCTCACGGCATTGGGAGTGAGGAGGAACTCCCACAGAAAGGGGCTCTGCAGTGAACAGCATGTGTGGACTCCAGGTGCAGCTCCCCATGGAGGATCCCAGCCTTCCCATCAGATTGCTAAATCTTCTCTGCATACACATGTATGACAAACAAAGCAGCAATGCTTCTTTCAGCCTGTTTTAGTTCTCCATATGGATAAATTTCACTTGCTTAACAATAGAGTTGGGAAAACACAATAATTCACTTTAGCATTGTGTTTGTGTTTCTTTTTACCACACAAAAGAGCAGAACCTGACAAAGTAGATCCTTCTCAGGAAATGAGCTGGTTAAAAGTAAGCTGTGTGAAATTTAGCCTAATTCATATGGCACTTTTTGTTAGATGCACAGACCTGTAGCTTATTTCTCCTTTGTTTTTCCTCTAGGGAACAGGAGCACTGTTGCTGAATTCACAGAGAGACTCAAAGTCAGGATTGTGTCCCTCTGGGAGCTTCAGATTAATGCAGGATAAACAGATTAAGTCGGACTTTGGTTCTCTGCTGCATTCCTCTGACATACCATGGATACCTGAGGCAGAGCAACAAGGTAACATCAATTCTGTGAAAGGTGCAAGATTCACAATCAGTTCCTAATGTTTATATGCAAGCTGGTACATTTTCAGAGCAATAAGGGTGAAGGAATTTACTTTGTAAGGTGAATAGATCAAGTATGGATTAGACCGAATTAGCAAGACTTTTGCCCCTATTCCCCCCCAACCCCATGCAAACAGATATTATCTTGAGAGTTATTGCTGCATTTTTCTTTACAGGTTAAGAAAAAAACCAAACAACATCCAATCTTTCAAAGCTTCAACAGCAGTCAGGTTTCTTTGTCCAAATTCTAATTACAAGAATTATGAGCAAACTGAGGGCTGTCCAGGTGCCTTATACCTTCAGTTCATGGTCTCAAAACATGGCAAACATCATCACTACCACCAAAAAAACAAACAAAAACCACAGAGTAGTACCTGTATGCCCACCCTCCCTCGCTTATTCGTTTTCCATGTTCTCAATTTAACGTCGCCTCTTCAGTATACACCAAAAGCATTTGTTTGAGTGCATTTGAGCTTAAGACTAACCGAGTAAAAAAAGTAAAGTAAACATCAAGTAAAGCTCAATTCAATTCACTAGAAAGCCATACAAACCTTTCAGCCACACTGAAGTATTTTAATAAGTGTCAGTTGCAAAATATTAATGAAAATAAAGAGTTATACTGGAACCCTCTGATCTAAACTGCTGCATACTCAAGGCTGTATTGAGAACTGAAATACAAGGACTTCTGAAAACATGCTATTTTCCTCCCTTCTGAAAAAGTAAGCAGAATCACACTTGTTGTCTTCATGGACAAAGGCAGAATCCTACTAAACATCACCCTTAGCACTAATTGAGAGGAGGAAGTTTGGGTACAAGTTTAGAGGACATTGGCTATTTGACATTCACTCACCACACAGGCACTAAGCAGAATGTGATTTATTTTACTTTCAAAGCTGAATGAACTGCCACAGAGAAAGGCACCATTACTCTGTGCTAAAAATATCCAAACACAGGGGGAGTACAGAGGAGCTGGTGCACTGTAAATTCATATTCCAACATATTGCACACTAACTTTCCTGTACAGACAAGCCCTTAGACTAATAGGCACCTGGGAGTCTTCAAGTCTGAGTGCCCAATAAATAAAAAGGCTATTTTATTTTTTTTTTTTACTGGTGCTCTGGAACCAAGCTCTGATGTCCCTACTCAGACAATGCTTCCATTGAAATCAAGTCTTGGTCTATTATTAAATACTATTTCTTTTACAGCTAGCTGCAAGCTTTCCAGGTTAGAGGATAGGGATTTCATATCAAGCCAAATCACTAATCCCAGTCCAAAGGAGATTGTGCAGGCATTTATTTTGATTTTATATAGGTATCTAGATACTGCTTGATTCAACAGACTGGTGAGTACTGAAGTAACTCCCCTCATATCCACCAATTTCCAACTCAGATAAACTCAAAACTGAACCAAACCAAACCTTCAAAGTTAACCTCCTCTTAGAAACTGTTTCAGACTTAGATTAAATCAAACTGGTTTAGACTCAGATTTGTTTGAGACAAAGTCAAGGACCATGTTTGAAGACCATTAACACAGCTTTCAGCTCTAGTTTCCCAAGCTTTAAGAGCTTAGTGAACCCTCAAGAGCAGAAAATGGTGTGTGTTTGAAGGCTGCACAGCACTGAGCTCACATAGCTCTGAGCCACAAGTTGCTTTGAGCTGCTCCCCCCAAGCACAGCAATCTCCCACACTGACAGAGGAGCCTGAGTAGAGCCCACTGCGCTCAGTGAAACACTGCGAGACGTGGAGTTAACTCACTGCCAAGCTCACAACCTGCTTTAGCAACTTCTCTGCCACAGCAAACGGTCCTGTTTCAGGGAACCTGGCTGCCCATAGCTGGGCACTACAAGGAATTATTTGGAATTCTGTGGAGCTGCAGGGAAGTGACTGCAGAGGTGAGGCTTCGGCTAACAAAGCAGACCTGGCCAGCATTTGCTTGTTAGATCTAAATGCAAGAAGCTTCTCAGATTCTGACACGTGAACTCTGGGAGGTACCCAGCCAGCACGTGAAGGAAACAATCACCTACAACAATGCTATTTTAGCTTCCTTCTTGCTACACTTTCTGCTTTTTTAGAACGATGGGTCAATGACAAATACTTTCCTTCTAGGCGGTTCACTCATTTATAGTGGTGTTCATGGTAAGCTTGACAGCTTTATCTTTCCTCAGCTACTTACAGCTGTGACTCCACTACTTTGAAGTCAACTTGGATTTGGTTGGATGAAGTGCAGACATCAGTGACTCTGGTTTAGTGTGTCACCTGCATTTGTTATCTTCCAGTAGACAATTTAATCAATTATAGTTTTTTTGTCTAGGCACCAGAACAAGACAAAATCTCTGATCAGCATTTCACAGGGTTGTTTCTTCACTGCTAGCAGGCCATTTAACATCTGATAGACCATATAAAAAGGTCTTCCCAGGGGCTTAGAGTGTTTGGGTTGTTCTTTTTATAGTGCAGAAGGTCATTAATGAGCAAGAGAAAGCACCATGGAAATAGCTAGACAAGTCTTGTTGAGTTAATAAGAAACTGTCATTCTGCTTCAGTACTTTCTCATTAAGCCTCGCAATGTTCACGTCTAAGGAGACTGATGGTACAAATCTATTTTAATGCTCAATTTAATTCCTCAAGACTTGAATCAAAGCAAGTTTACCCCTCCCTTTTTTTTTCCCATGATTTTATCAGTTCAGCAATTTCTGAGAAAAAGACACATTATTATTTTTAGAGATGCAGCTCAAAAGCTGAAATTCAGATTTCTTTTTATAATGGGGTAGTTGTTCCTTGACTTTTGCGAACAGAAGACCAGTCACCCCAAAGCAAGTTTCGTCCTCTAACTCTTATAAAACAGTCTATAAAGGTAGTCACCATACTATCATACTTTGAATGTTTTCAAGGACTAGGGTCTTACAACAGCTTTGTTGCCATGTTTAAGTGTCACACAGAAATTAATTCCCCATTGCTTAAATAGGATCAACGCACAGATACCACCAATAACTGAGCATGAAGGGTCTGTCATGCAATGATATCAATGAAAGCCACTTCTTCCTAAGAATTACATTACAAGAAAAGCTTTATTAACTCTTTAGCTACTCTCCTGTGCCCCACTTAATTTTGGTGCTCAGACTAGAATCCTAATTTAGTTCACGTGCCTTTGCTGTTACCAAGTATCTTTCTGCAGAGGATCAATTACCTGTTTTTCAGAGCTTTTGTTGCCAGATCCATTTTCTCTTCAGCAGCTTTTACTGCTGTGATTACTATCCCAAGCAACCAACTTACCAGAAGCTGAACAGCACACAGATGACGAGGAAATGTTGCTCAGATGCTTAAAGTTATGCAACAGTGACCTTCACGTGACACTGAGGTTCCCTTCAGCCTTGCCGTACAACTGATTTAAGTGAAGATGTGGGGTAAAACAAACACCTTGCTTTCAGTTACTGATGCTTGGTCACTGCAGGCTCAGTCTCTTCCAACCATCAGATCCCATACAGAAAGCCACGCTGGCACTGATGCAGCAGTTGGTAACTTAGGCCCAGCTTCAGGCATATGGAAGTCCAAGAGAAGAGAGGAGGAACAGATTAGAGAGAAGTTCACCAAAGGAAACTGATGGAAGAGAGTCACACGTTCCCTTTTGTACTTTACATGTACAAAACCTTCATGTGTGTATCAGGGCAGAACTGCTAACACCGAGCAATACCAGTTCTCTCCTGCTGTTTTGAACACTAAAGAAAACAGTCCAGTGCATTAGTGAGGGAGTTTCATTCTCTTATCTGTTATTCTCCAGCATTTGTTAGCTAAAGCTCTTAACTCTCCTGGCTACCCATTGCTCACACCAGGGAAGTTCCTAAAGCACACCTTTTCACACAGCATGGGTTTCATCTCATAGTTGATTTCTCTTTTCTGAACTCCACACATACAGAATTTCTTGTTAGTAAGCCCGTAACGACTGTACATCCCAGCCCTGAAAACTCCCTCTAGAGCTGTTTCCACAGAACTCATTTTTACGTTAGTTTCTTTTCCTTTTCTTCTCCTTACAACAACCTTCCAAAAAAGTCCCTAGATCTTTCAAGGCAAAGTATTACTTCCTGCAGTGCAGATACTGTGGTAAGGACCTGAAGTTGCTGAAGATTTGAAATCTCAAATCATTAAGGTCATACAAAGGTGAAAAGCATTTAAAGGATGGAAAAAGAGGTGAGAAAGATAAGGGGCACCCCCAACATACCAAAAATATTGCAGGATCCCAGTAATGTAAATAAACAGTTTTCATTATAGGCTATCCTGGTTTTGTGGGATCCTTCAGAAATCCACTGATCTGAGATAACTTAAGAGAAGTCTCTCATTGTAATTCCATGACTGTTTCCCATTATTCACTGTTACAGAAACAGTGCAAGACAACTGAAGACTTTTCCCCTCCCAACTACACATTTGCCAGCTGAGCACAGGAAATCTTCACAGTATTAGTTCTCTTGAAATCAGTGCAGCTGCCAGGGAG